TCCCAAAGTGGCTGGGATTACAGGCGTGGCCCGCCCTGGGCCAGAATTGATTATTTTTAGTTTGAAACTGGATTTTGTGGTCATCTTCTTATCTATGCCCTGGTCCTCCCTTTGCTCCATAAGCCTTTGCAATGCCTAAGGTAGGTGTTATTTCTTTATGTTTAACGGACTTAATTTGAGATAAGGTGGCCATTAATATCCAGCCATGACAGCAGGGCATTAATTTACTGGCCTGCGGGTACTTGTGTGGTGTTGGTCCCCCACTTGTCAGGATGTTGTGATTCTGCCTTGGGGTGTCCCTCCGTCATTCTCCTACCCACTCTCCCTCTTTTTTCTCTGACACCCGCTTGGCCTCCTTCTTCCTGCACATCCGGCATGTTTTTGTGTCGACACCTTCGTCCCCCGTAGCTGGCATGGATGATGCCCCCCTGTTCCTGTACGAGCCCCTGTTATTAACGCACCTCCCACCATCACTCTGCTCGGTGTGCGGTGCTTTGTTTTTTGTTTGGGTTTTTTTTTTGTTGTTTTGTTGTTGTCACCTGACGTGTATTACCCGCCGTGTTACTACCACCGTTCTTACCCAAACGCAGGCTGCATGGGAGACAGGACTTTTGTTAGCTTTGTAGAGACGGGGTTTCACCGTGTTAACTAGGATGGTCTCGATCTCCTGACCTCGTGATCCGCCCACCTCGGCCTCCCAAAGTGCTAGGATTACAGGTATGAGCCACCGCGCCCGGCCAACTGGTTTTTTTTTTTTTTTTAGATTAGCTCTTTATTTTTTGATGAAAATACATTCTCATTTTTTATACTTTGGATATAATTACATTTTACTTTTAATCCCTTAGATTATTGAAAATGAGTATAAGTCAAGATTTTGGTAGAATAAGAATGCTAAAGTGGAGCTCACAAAACAAAAATGAAAAAGGAAGTAAAAATCTTCAAAGAAGCAGGCTGCTTGCATTTTCCAACACTGGAAGCAATAAAAGTAAGCGGTCTTCTTCCAGGGTGACCCACATAAAATTCACTAACCAGACCTTACAAAGGTTTTGTTAAATGAAGATTTACTTGTTAATCAAAACAATGAAAATTAGTAAGAAAATTATTCTCACCAAATCCCAGTTTGAACAAGTCAGATGAAATCCTTTGTAACTTCATCTTCTTTACTAAAGGAAGATTTAATTGCTAATCTCAAAGAATCACACACAAAAAACACATATCCAGTTACAGGAATTGAGGGAAAGAGGCCAAATAAACAGACAATTGATTTTACCGGAAACAGAACACAATGTAAAATACTGATGTAATATTCTCAAAAGAATAATACAATGTGTCTAATATTTAGCCAAGCCTAATCATTCTTTTCATGACACCATTAGTACAGTGTGTACAAAAAACAATGGAAATTTTCTAGGTTTAGTAAAAGAGATTTCAAAATTTGGTAAAATGCCAAACGTAATTAAGACAAAAATAATGAAAGTAATGATCATTACCTAGGATGGAGAATTCCAGCAGATTATGAGTTTAATAGGGAATAAAGTGAGATGTGAAGTCATATATAAAAATTTTTTTGTCAATAAATTTTTTGGTTTTGTGGGATTTTTTTGTTTGTTTTTTTGAGACAAGGTCTTACTTTGTCACCCAGGCTCGAGTGCAGTGTTACAGTCATAGCTCACTGCAGCCTCAATCTCCCAGGCTCAAGTGATCCTCCCATCTCAGCCTCCCAAGTAGGTGGGACTGCAGGCATGCACCATGCCTGGCTAATTTTATTTTTAGTAGAGACGGGGTGGTGCCATGTTGCCCACACTCGTCTTAAGCTCCTGAGCTCAAGGGATCCTCCTTCCTGCTTGGCCTTCCAAAGTGCTTTGGTGAGCCACCAAACCTGGCCAAATATTTTTTTGAGAGAGAATCTTGCTCTGTTACCCAGGCTGGAGTGCAGTGACATGATCCCGGCTCACTGCAACCTCCACCTCCCAAGTTCAAGAGATTCTTCTGCCTCAGCCTCCCGAGTAGCTAGGATTACGGGCACATGCCACCACGCCCGGCTAATTTTTGTATTTTTAGTAGAGACGGGGTTTCACCATATTGACCAGGCTGGTCTCCAACTCCTGACTTCGTGATCCACCCGTCTTGGCCCCCTAAAGTGCTGGGATTACAGGCATGAGCCACCATGCCTGGCCCAAAATTTTTTAATAAAATAGTTAGTTCAACTAGAGTGTACCATGGTACTCATAGTACCATGAGTGTACCATTACTGCTTGAAGAAAAGTCTAAATCATTCCATGTTTCGTTGGCTTTATATCTCCTCCTTAAAGTGTGATTTTTGAATTACGTGAATAATTGAAAGAAAACTTTCCATTTTAGACGTTAATTCAAGGATTGTTGAAGGCAAGCCTGTGATAATGGAGCAAATGTGGTTGGTAAATGAGAGATGTACAAGCAAGAAGCTTGGCTAAGAATCCAGAAGCAAACTATGTGACACATACAGCCCATCGTTTGAAATATGTTTCTAGGATGCATGACCTCCACTGTGCCACTAGTGCTGATGCTTGGAAACAATAGAGGGAATACATACAGTGTTTTCTAGATGTGCCCAAAGATGGAATATCCTGATTAAACTTACATTTCACCCTATAACAAGTCTCAGGCGCACCATGAGAATACCAACGAAATGCTGTTGAAGTAATTAAATTGAATTTAGAAAAGAAGAATTCGGCTGGGCGCGGTGGCTCACGCCTGTAATCCCAGCACTTTGGGAGGCCGAGACGGGCGGATCACGAGGTCAGGAGATCGAGACCATCCTGGCTAATGCCACTTCCATGTTCATTGCAGCATTATTCAAAATAGCCAGGATATTGAAACAACTACATTGTCCATCAATGAAGAATGGATAAAGTAATAATGGTGTATATACAGTGGAATATAATTCCACAGTTTAAGAAGAGGAGAATCCTGCCATTTACAACATGATACCAAAGTGAAATAAAGCCAGCACGAGAAATATACTACATGATCTCACTTACTATATGGGAATCTTAAAAAAAAAAGAAAGAAAGAAAGTATTGGAGGTGAGTGAGTGGTGGTGGCTCACTCCTGTTAAATCCCAGCACACTTGGGAGGCCAAGGCAGGCAGATCACCTGAGGGTCAGGAGGTTCGGAGACCAGCCTATAGGGGGAGGGGGGTGAGAACCCCATATCTACTAAAATATAAGAAATTAGCTGGGGCATGTGGCACATCGCCTGTAATCCTCACCTACTCGGGAGGCTGAGGCAGGAGAATAGCTTGAACCGGGAGGCAGAGGTTGCGGTGAGCGAGATTGTGCCCAACTGCACTGCAGCCTGGGCAACAGAGCGAGATTCCGTCTCAAAAAATAAATAAATAAAAATAAATAATAAAAATATTTTAATTTGGGAGGGCAAGCAGATTACTTGAGATCAGAGTTGGAGACTGTAACCAGGTTAGGATTACAGTACTTATTGCTGGGCACAGTGGCTCACACTTGTAATCGACGGGCCGCAGTGGCTCATTTGGGAGGCCGAGGCGCAGGATCACGAGGTCAGGAGATCGAGGAGACCATCCTGGCTAACACCGGGTGAAACCCCCTCTCTACCGAAAATACAAAAAATTAGCGAGGCGTGGTGGCGGACCGGCTGTAGTCCCAGCTACTCGGGAGGCTGAGGCAGGAGAGATCGGTGTGAACCCGGGAGGCAGCAGCTTGCAGTGAGCGGATGGCGCCACTGCACTCCGCCTGGGCGACAGAAGCGAGGACTCCATCTGAAAAAAAAAAAAAAAAAAAAGGATTACAGGTATCTCCCCCATTACCTGCGGTTTCATTCACGTGGCTTGTCAGTTACCCACACCCGAACCGTGGTGTGATGTTTTGAGAGAAGAGAGACGCACATTCACATAACTTTTGACGTACAGTATGATCATGTAGTAATTGTATTATTGTATTATGTTTTCTGCTTAACTGTGCTCTAATTTTATCATTAAACTTTAGTCATAGGTGTGTACAGTACAGTATAGGGGAAAACGCATAGTGTTTGTAGGTCAGTGCTACTGAGCTTCGGGTCATCGCCACTGAGGGTCGTTGTGAACGTTATGCCCCTGCAAATAAGAGGGGAACTACTGTATTACATCTACTCGCTCGCTGTGAACACCTTGTGTAGGCTTTTTGGTGAACACCTGCCCACATTTCTGAGGGACAGATACACAAGTGTATAATTTGCTGAGTCATGGGATGTGGCATATGATCAGTTCCAGTAGGACATTGTGAAATGGTTTTCCAAAGATGTTGGGTACAGGTCGACACTAACAGCAGTATTGAATGAGAGTTCCCGGTTCCTGCACATCCTTGCCAGGTTTGATGTGGCCTTCATTTTAGCCATTCTACTGGAGGGCGGGTGGAGTGGAAAGAATGATTTTTTTTTTTTTTCTTTCTGAAATGGAGTCTCCACTCTGTCACCGAGGCTGGAATCAATGGCACAATCTCAGCTCACTGCAACCTCCACCTCCTGGGTCAAGCGATTTCCTGGCCATTAGCCTCCCGAATAGCTGGGGCATTAAGGCACGCGCCACCACAGCTCAGCCAATTTTTTTTTTTTTTTTTTTTTT